GAGTGAGACTCTGTCTCAAGAAAAAACAAAAAGATACTAAAGCAAGGAACCACCTATTGACACTCTGATTTTATGGGTGTGGGTGTGGCTTGGGGGCAGAATGTTTGGAAGCTCCCTGGGTGACTCAGTGTGCTCCGTTAGAGGCGCCCTCGGTGGTCCTGCAGATGTGTGAACAGGCTAGAGTCGTCCCCATCAGGAGAAATTGTCCAAGACTTGGAGACGGAAGAGGGATTCTGGGCATGTTTTCCATGGATTTCAGGGATTCGCTGTTTACACAGGACTCTGTTCCGTGTCTTTCTGTTGATCAGGCTTATTTAATTATTGGTTTGTTTGCTTGTTTTTGAGACAGAGTCTCACTCTGTCGCCCAGGCTGGAGTGTAGTGGCTTGACCTTGGCTCACTGCAACCTCTGTCTCCTGAGTTCAAGTGATTCTCCTGCCTCAGCTTCCTGAGTAGCTGGGATTATAGGCACCCACAACCATGCCTGGCTAATTTTTGTATTTTTAGTAGAGATGAGGGGTCACCATGTTAGCCAGGCCGGTCTTGAACTCCTGACCTCAAGTGATCTGCCCGCCTCCCAAAGTGCTAGGATTGCAGGCGTGAGCCACAAAGCCTGGCCTGACCAGGCTATTTTAATCCTCTGATGGGGAGGCGTTAAGTGGTAGAAAATGGAAATAATTATTGTCCATAACAATGCTAATGGATTTTGTCCCACAGAGACACAGTTGGTGTCCGTCTCATAGAAAAGATGACTGTAAACATGACATTTTATTGCCCTGTAGGCCATTGACCATCTTGGTATCTATTAGTGAATTCATCCTAGCATTCCTAACTGCATCTATATATAGCTGATTTTCAGATTCTGTTTCAACTGCTCTTCACAGCTTCTTGGTTCCCTCATTAATTAACAAGTTGAATGAAATTATTTACACATGTTTATTTTATCATTGAGAGTCATGTCTGCAACTTTTTGAAAATTGCCTTTTGGCTCCCCCGGAGGGAGAGTGGTGCCCCTTCCTCCTCAGCCCTATGTGCCCAGTACCCCACCTGGCTGTAGCTCTATCATGCAGTGCTGTCTCCCCTACTATACTCAGGGTCCTGGGGACCCACATTTCACCCTGCTGGTTAGTCCGGGTTTGTGACGTCTTTATTCTCTGCACCTGGTCCAGGGCCAGGGAAAGAGCAGGTGCTCAATAAATGTTTCTGAGGAGCCCTGCCCCATTGGTCAGCAGCACGGATTAACCAGTGACACTTCATCAGCACCTAATTCACTGTGTTGGTTTTTTTTTTTCCTTTTTGAGACAGAGTGACGCTCTGTTGCCCAGGCTGGAGTGCAATTGCTCGATCTTGGCTCACTGCAAGCTCCACCTCCCAGGCTCAAGCAATTCTCCTGCCTCAGCCTCCTGAGTAGCTGGGACTACAGGTGCATGCCACCACACCTGGCTAATTTTTGTATTTTTAGTAGAGACAGCTATCTTCACCATGCTGGCTAGGCTGGTCTTAAACTCCTGACCTCAGGTGATCCACCTGAGTTCAGGCAATTCTCCTGTCTCCTGGCCAGAAACAAATATTTTTAAGATAAGGGCCAGGTGCAGTGAGCCAAGATTGTGCCATTGCACTCCAGCCTGGGTGACAGAGCAAGACCCATCCCCCCCCTAAAAAAAGGCCCAGCTTGGCCGGGCGCGGTGGCTCAAGCCTGTAATCCCAGCACTTTGGGAGGCCGAGGCGGGTGGATCACGAGGTCAACAGATCGAGACCATCCTGGTCAACATGGTGAAATCCCGTCTCTACTAAAAATTACAAAAAGTTAGCTGGGCACGGTGGCGCGTGCCTGTAATCCCAGCTACTCAGGAGGCTGAGGCAGGAGAATTGCCTGAACCCAGGGGGCGGAGGTTGCGGTGAGCCGAGATTGCGCCATTGCACTCCAGCCTGGGTAACAAGAGCGAAACTCTGTCTCAAAAAAAAAAAAAAAAAAAAAGGCCCAGCTTGGTGGCTAACGCCTATACTCTCCGCACTTTGGGAGGCCGAGGCAGGTGGATCACCTGAGGTCAGGAGTTCGAGAACCAGCCTGTACAACGTGGTAAAACCCCATCTCTACAAAAAATACAAAAATTAGCCGGGTGTGGTGGTGCCCACCTGTAGTTCCAGCTACTCAGGAAGGTGAGGCACGAGAATTGCTTGAACCTGGGAGGCGGAGGTTGCAGTGAGCCAAGTTAGCACCACTGCATTCCAACATGGACAACAGAGTGAGATTCCGTCTCAAAAAAGAAAAATAAATAGCTGTAGTTTCAAGTTTAGTAGGACTCTTACTGTATCTCTGGTGGAAACAACCCCAGCCTCTCCCTACTTTCCAAGAAGCCAGGACTTTTAACCTGGCAGAACTCAAGTTTGCAGAGTTGGCGAAAGACGCTACACTTGCTTCCTGGACCAATATATTCTAGCACAAAGCTCCATGTAGCAGCCATTGATTTAGTATATCTACTGCATCCCAGAGGACAGCACACCTCAGCTGCAAGACATCACCCCTTCTCCAGGGCCTCGGATGGACCTTTACTGGGCCATTCTACCACTCTCTCAGTTTGGATGTTTCCAGATGGGGGAGTATATGTCAAGATCAATGGATCTTGCAGTCATGAGCATATTACCAACCTCCTTTGCCTCTGGAAGTTGAAGGTGGGGATTGATTGGGACAGGAGTGAACTTTTGGGAGTGATGGAAATGCTTTATGTAGTGATGATGCCTTGGGATACACAGTACATGCATTTGTCAAAACTCTGTGAATGTACTCGTGGGTTCTGGGCATGTAAATTTTGCCTCAAAAGGAAAAAAAAATGCAGGCCAGTTGTGGTGGAACTTGCCTGTAATCCCAGCACTTTGGGAGGCCAAGGCAGGAGGATCACTTGAGGTCAGGTGTTCAAGACCAGTCTAGCCAACATGGTAAAACCCTATCTCTACTAAAAGTACAAAAGTTAGCCAGGCATGGTGATGTGTGCCTGTTTTCCCAGATACTCGAGAGGCTGAGGGATGGGAATCGCTGGAACCCAGAAGGCAGAGGTTGTTTTGAGCCAAGATGATGCCACTGCACTCCAGCCTGGGCAACAGAGTGAGATCCCATCAAAAAAAAAAAAAAAAAGGAAAAATGCAAATAAATACAGAGATCTAGCTAGTAATAGGCATGTTATGTTTTTTTAGAGGGAATGTACAGTAATTTAGACAGTAATTTACTTTGATATGCATCAAAAATTAGGTGCAGTGATGGACAGATATGTGATAAGGCAAGAGAAATCAAGTATTAATAGTGGAATCTAGGTGGTCGGTATATGTGTGTTCACTGCAGCATTCTCTCAACTTTGCTGTACATTTGAAAATGCTTATAACAGCACATTGGGGGAAAACTAGAGGGAAATAGCTAGGGAGGGAGCCCAGTGGGGGAGGCCCTGAAGGGGAGTCCAGTGAGTCTCATCACAACGATAAAGGAAGCACAACAAGCTGGCGATTGACTGGGGCTGGTGCCAGGCTCCTTGAGGGTGTGATGCGTAGGTGAGTCAGGGCTACAGGAAACTCATAATTGGGAGGATGACTTTTTAATCTTGTAAAAAGTAATTTGCAGCAACACAGATTGGCTAAATTATGTCCACTTAGAGAAAGTGTTTTAACCTACTCTTTTGGGAGACAATTTAATGAATGAAAAACACTGGTCTGGACTTAGACAAATTTCCTTTCCTTTCCTCTCCTCTCCTCTCCCCTTCCCTCCCCTCCTCTTCCTCCTTTTCCCTCCCTTTCCCTCCCTTCGCCTACCTTCCCCTCCCCTCTTCTTTCCTTTACTTTCTTGAGATAGGGTCTCCTCTGTCATCCAGGCTGGAGTACAGTGGTGGGATCTTGGCCCACTGCAACCTCCGTCTCCTGTTGAATCCAGAGATTCTCTCACCTCAGCCTCTCAGGTAGCTGGGATTACAGGCACATGCCAACATACCCTGGCTAATTTTTAAATTTTTTGTAGAAACGGGGTTACCCAGGCTGGTCTCCGACTCCTGGGCTCAAGTGATCGGCCCACCTCAGCTTACCAAAGTGCTGGGATTACAGGCGTGAGCCACCGTGCCTGGCCACAAATTTAATTTTCGACCCTAGCTGTCTTACTCCTGAACTGGGCTGTCTTAAGCAATTTGCTAAATCTTTCCGTCTCTGTCACAGTTTCTTCATGTGTCATGTGGGCATAGCTCTGCCTACATAATAAGTAGGGTTAAATGGAAGTTCTCAACAAATGGTAGTTTTATTTATTTTAATTTTATTTTATTGTCATTTTTTGAGACAGTCTTGCTCTGTTGCCCAGGCTGGGGTGCAGTGGTGTGATCTCAGCTCACTGCAACCTCCACCTCCCTGGTTCAAGAGGTTCTCCTTCCTCAGCCTCCCAAGTAGCTGGGATTACAGGCATCTGCCATTGTGCCCAGCTAATGTTTGTATTTTTGTAGAGACGGGGTTTCACCATGTTGGCCAGGCTGGCCTTGAACTCCTGACCTCAGGCAATCTGCCTGCCTCAGTCTCCCAAAGTGCTGGGATTACAATCGTGAGCCACTGCGCCTGGCCCAAATGATAGTTTTTATACCTTTCCACATGTAAGCAAAGATACTTGCCCAGAAAAATTTGATTTACCTGGAGCGTCACTCAGAAGAACAATATATGTTGGGATTTGAAGCCAGAAGATATGTCATCAGGTACGATATTTAGGACATGTGGTTCTTCAAAGACTCTCTATGTCTACGGTTTCTTAGCTTCTGGGATGCTCAGTAACACTTGCAAAGGAAATCTCCATCCCAGCACATCCTAAAACATGCCAGCACCACTGTATCATTCACTACATTTCTTTTCTTCTTGTATCTTTCTTTAAAAACAGCAGCTACAGAAGGAGGAGCATGCCTGTGTTTTATAACTCCTTTCTCTCTCCTGCTGATTTCCTGGCAAGCGTCTGATTTCATTACGACATGGAGAATCAGCTTTGGGCCGTGGGAGGCTCATTGAGCTGCGGTAATGCCAGGGCACTTATTCATCATCCTCTCCCATGCTGCTTCCAGACTTGACAGTCAGCACAACAAACACTTAATGACTCCTGACTTCCGGGAGGCCTCATGTTTCACACCCGATGGGCAACAGTCTGTAGTGGTCTGTTCCTCCCCATGTTTGCGAAAAACTGGCAGAGGCATAATCGTAAAGTTTTATTCTCCCATCTTCTTCTGCTCGTTTGTAAGTGCTTCCAGACACACATAACTTACTGATAGTCGGACTCTGAAAGAAGCTTCTCCAAGAACGCCTGCTGGGTAATCGAAATGATGCTTTTCAGAATTTTTCAAGTTTCTGTCACTATGCAGTTATTGATGGCATTCCTGAAGAATGTGTTGCTCTTGCAAGCACTTGCTGGGGCTTTCCAGGGTCTTCTGAATCTGTTTTGATTTTGTTTACAGTTGCTGGCTTGTTTGGTGACTTGGAGATGGTGATATGTTGGGATGATACCCAGGAGGTCCAGGAATAGACTTCACAGGTAAAGAATGATGGGAGAATCGTTCTGCCTTCGTTTTTCCACTGTCTTCTTTTCTTTTCTTTTCAAGACAGGCTCTTGTTCTGTCACCAGGTTGGAGTGCAGTGGTGCAACCACAGCTCACTGCAGCCTTGATCTCCTGAGCCCAAGCAATCCTCCCAGCTCAGCCTCTTGAGTAGCTGGTACCATAGGCAAGCGCCACCACACCCAGCTAATTTTTTTTTTTATTTCTTGTAGAGAAGGAGGGCTCCCTATGTTGCCCAGGCTGGTCTTGAACTCCTGTGCTCAAGCAGTCGTCCTGCCTCAGCCTCTCAAAGTGCTGGGATTATAGGCATGAGCCATACTGCACACAGCCCACTCTTCTTTTCTTAACCTAATAATTTGTCTAGGACAGGAGTCCATGTAGCAGAGGAACAAGCACACAGACTCTCGAGTCAGCCAGCCCTGAGTTCAAATCCTGATCCTTCAACTGCAGTCACTGAGATCCTTGCTTCCAATTCTTTACTCCCTCCTGGTCTCTGAATGACAATTTCCCATCCTTCCCAATGTGACCTTGCAGCAGCTCTTGCTAGAATGGGCAGAGTACATGTGAGTGCGAGGAAATGACCGTGAACCTGGCCTTCGGTGGGTTCATGTGTCCTTGTCTGTCTCTCCTGTGCTTCCTCCATCTGCCAGGAGAATATGCCCGGGTGGCTGCTTGGCCCAGAATGATGAGGGTGGAGCCAACCTGAACCCAACCTGCAACCTGGAGATGATCCCGGCCAACCCAGAGAACTGTGCGTGAGAAAAATAAATGTTGACAGGGGTTGGCATGATTCTTTTTGTAAAGGGCCAGACAATCTCAGATGCAGTTTCTCAACTCTGCTCCTGCAGCACCGAGGCAGCCACAGACAACACAGAAGCAGATGAGCGTTCCTGGGTCCAATAAAACTTTATCTGTAGACACTAAAATTGGAAATTCACATCATTCTTTTGTGCCAGGAAATACTCCTTTATTGATTTTTTTTAACCATTTAAAAACATAATCTATGCTTAGCTCATGGGCTACAGAAAAGTAGGCAGTAGGCTAGAAGTGTCTTACTGGCAGGAGTTTGGCCAGCCTTGCTGTAAGCCATAGAGATGTGTGAATTTTCTTTGTTACAGAGCAAAACTGATTAATATACCCTTCCGTGTGTGCAATCTTGAACAAATTACTTATCGCCCCTAAATCTCAACTTCTCTCTCTCTTTTTTTTTTGAGATGGATCTCATTCTGTCATCCAGGTTGGAGTACAGTGGCATGATCTCAACTCACTGCAATTTCCATCTCCTGGGTTCAAGTGATTCTCCTGCCTCGGCTTCCTGAGTAGCTGGGATTACAGGCACATGCCACCATTGTATTTTTAGTAAAGATGGGGTTTCACCATGTTGGCCAGACTGGTCTCGAACTCCTGACCTCATGTGATCTGCCTGCCTCGGCCTCCCAAAGTGCTGGGATTATAGGTGTGAACCACCGTGCCTGGCCAAATCTCGACTTTCTTATCATAAGATGGCAGTAACAGTAGAATATTTATCATTGTAAATGAAATCATGTACAGGAATTGTTTGGATTATAAATGTTTAATATATTATGGGTTTATTCTACTTACTGTCATTCTAGTAGAGGGAGGGGACAGGAGCTCTTCCCCCAAAACCCAAGTCAACTCAGGCTGTGTTTCCCTCTCAGGCAAGTCAAACAAGTGGGGCTCTAGAAAGATAACCCTTCAAGGGTGTGGGTGCCGGCAAGCAGAGGCCACGGGCAGCTCAGAGTCTGCAGTCTCCTTTGTTCCTGCTCTCAGGACAGCCTGGGGCATGGAGAAGGTGTGCCCAGGAGCTTGGCCTGGGTTCCCAGGAATATAGTGTATATATGAGCATAGAAACCTGGGTCTGCTTCCCATCTGGAAAGAATCTGACTGGTGCAGCTGGTGATGGCTGTGCAGGTAGGGACTGTGATGCAATTACACAGGAAAAAAGGATGGGGGTCCTCCACCCCATATGTTTGCAGCACTTAGAAGCCATTACAGAGGGCCAGGCACAGTGGCTCATGCCTGTAATCCCAGCACTTTGGGAGTTTGAGACCAGCCTGACTAACATGGAGAAACTCCATCTCTACAAAAATACAAAATTAGCCGGGCATGGTGGTACACACCTGTAATCCCAGCCACTTGGGAGGCTGAGGCAGGAGAATCGCTTGAACCTGGGAGGTGGAGGTTGTGGTGAGCTGAGATTGCACCATTGCACTTCAGACTGGTCAACAAGAGCAAAACTCTGACTCAAAAAAAAAAGGAAGCCATTGCAGAGGACCTCATTGATTCCTGTGGCTCCAGGTGAATGACCATGATGCCGAGGGGAAGCAGGAGCCATGACCTGCCCAGTGCCCAGGGTGCCCTCAGTAAGGGACACCTTACCCAGAGACGGTAGTAAGGGCATGGACCACTGGCAGGGCTTGAAGGGAAACATGGACATCCCTTTCTTTTTTTTTTTTAGACAAAGTTTCACTCTTGTTACCCAGGCTGGAGTGCAATGGTGCGATCTTGGCTCACTGCAACCTCTACCTCCTGGGTTCAAGCGATTCTCCTGCCTTGGCCTCCCAGTAGCTGGGATTACAGGCAGCTGCCACCATGCCCAGCTAATTTTTGTACTTTTAGTAGAGACAGGGTTTCACCATGTTGGTCAGGCTGGTCTCAAACTCCTGACCTCAGGCGATCCACCTGCTTTGGCCTCCCAAAGTGTTGGGATTACTGGTGTGAGCCACACACCCGGCCGGACACCCCTTTCTGAAGGCATCCTCAGTAATGGAGATGTCCAGTATCAGTCTGAACATCACTCCAGGAAATGTGGTGGGGGAGTGATGGGCACACCATCTCCATGGAGACAAACCCAGGGCAGGTGGTACCAGAGCCTGAGAGAGGTGGGGAGTGTCTCCATTCTTATCTCAGAGCCACAGCTGGGCTGCTGCAGGGGGAATGGGACCTGAGAGTTTTGAATTAGACATGGGGTTGTGGTTTAAAACTGGAAGGCTTTCAAATAACTGCAAATGATCAGGAAAATAATATAGGATCTGCCGAAAATGTCGTTTGGAGATAGAAATTGGAATTTGACAGAGCATAGCTGAAGGCATTGATTAGAGAAAATGTAAAACCATTTCATGTTTATATCCCTTGAGTCTGAGACTGCTCAATAAACCAATTAAACATTTGATTACAATCCTCATGTTTTCCCTCAACCCCATCTCCCTAGGTCCCCTGCCAGCAGGAAAATGTCACAAGCTGGTTTCACCCTTTTGCTTAAGGAAGGAAGGAAAAGGAAAGAACGGAGGGAGAGAAAGAAAAGCTCAGTGTCATGGTTATTTGCAAGGACACACTCAGGTCCAGCATGCACTATTTATTTCTGGAACTCCCTGAGTTAGATGTAACCACAGTTATCCTCCTGCTAGGGTGATTTTACTCATGGAAAAAAAATGTTATCCCTAGTGTTCACTTGCTTCAGTCTTTCAGGCAAAGTCAGAAAGATAGAACCTGCTCCATTTGCAAAACGGGAAGGAAGGAAGGAAAGAAGGAGGGAGGGAAAGAAAAAAGGGAGGGAAGATAGAACCACTCCATCAAGGTCTATCTCAAGAGTCATCTGAAGAAATCCTAACAAAAAGAGGACCCAGAATCTTTTTTTTTTTTTTTGATTCTGCCAAGAGCAGTTTCTCCAGGTTGCAGACATTTACCTTGATCTCGAATTTAAAGACACACTGGAGGCGGAGTCAGGGATTCAGCCAGTCAGGGTCCCACAAGCCCTGGCCAGCAATTGGCTTAAGGGCAGGGCATGCCCCTGGGACTGTGATTGGCTCAGAGGTGAGCACGTGACCCCAGATGGCTCCTGTAGGCCAAGGAAAAGGCTCTGCTCAGCGGCTGGTGGGGAAGCCCTCCCAGTGCCTCCCTTGGTGTATTTCTTGGTCTCTCTCCTCATCCCTCTCTTGACTCCCACAGGCAAAAGAAGAGGCAGGTGGTCATGGTGGTTATAGCCATCCTACTGATAGGGCTGCCAGATAAAATATGAGAAGCCAAATTTAATTTAAATTTCAAAGACGAAATAAATACATTTGAATTTCAGATATGCAATGATTTGTGAGGAGGGGCTGTCAATATTTGGGATGTAATTATACTAAAAATTATTTCATTGTTTGTCTGGAATTCAAATTAACTGCATGCTCATCATTCATGTATCCATTCATTCATTTTTTGCTACATCTGGCATTGCTGTACCTGAAGGCACCTGTGCATAGAGGCTGCTGACTTCGAAGAGGGTGGATGGCCAGAGGCCACTGCTGAACCTGGGGCTTGAATAATGCTGACAGAGTGACCCTTAAGCCAAGTACTCCAGGCCAGACCCCCTCTGCCAACACCATTGAAGGCTCAGGGATTCAGGCACGACCCCTAACTCATAGAGTTGGGGCCCCACCAGCCTGTTTGAAATGCAGATTAAGTTACAACAACAACAAAAAAGACATGTTCCCGTATTCCTTAATTTGTTGACTTGGATGTATACCCACCACACTTAGACAGCTTTCTCTGTCTTGAGAATCTAAAATTATTTATCCGGGTGTTCTAGTTCTGTAAGGGTTTTATTTTTTACACTGGTATCTATAATTCCACCGGAATTCATCTTGGTTAAGGAGGGAGGTGAGAGGCACGATTTTGAAACAACACTTGAGTTTCCCTGAATCACATGACACAGCAGTTCTCAGATGTCCCCCTTCATTTGGCACCCCTTTGAGCCACAAGTGAGAGGACAGGACAGATAGGAGGAAGGGTCCTTCTCACAGAGACATAGTGTAAGGAGGAGAAGGGTGGAGGGAGGGAGGGAGGGAGAGAGATAGAGAGAGAAAGGGCATTAAAGGAAGGACTCTTGAGATAAAATATATATATATTTTTTGAGACCAAGTCTCACTTTGTCACTCAGGCTGGAGTACGGTGGCAAGAGAGATCTCGGCTCACTGCAACCTCCACCTCCTGGGTTCCAGCAATTCTCCTGCCTCGGCCTCCTGAGTAGCTGGGATTACAGGTGTGCACCACCAAGCTGGCTAATTTTTGTATTTTTACTAGAGACAGAGTTTTACCATGTTGGTCAGGCTGGTCTCAAACTCCTAACCTCATGTTCCACCCACCTCAGCCTCCCAAAGTGCTGGGATTATAGACATGAGTCACTGCGGCCAGCTAAAATAATTCACTGTCCCATATTTGTGTCTCTAAGGGGGGTCTCCTTCTTCAAGCTGCCTCAGGGCTGTCTGTGGATGTCAGTGCCCTTGCACAAATGTAGTGCTCCATCACCCTGCACGGGTGGGACACGTCCTCATTCCTTCTCCTCACCAGGTTCCTGCCACACATTACCCACGAGTCATGGTTGGAGAGAGCAGTGTGTTTAATCCCCACACTCCCCGACCGTGCCACTTCTCTCCCATATGCAGGGAGGCCTCTGCAGACAGAATGAAGTGAAACTGGGGAGAAGAGAATAAGGGAAGTCAGGCTCATGTTTTCCACACATCGTCTCCCCAGAAACAGGGCTGCCTCTGCAGGAGCACCCACGAGGAAGATGTGTTATAAGGAGGTAACTGGCACCTGTAGTCTCAGCTACTCAGGAGGATTGCATTCAACCTGGGCTACTCCAGTCCCTCCTGGAGCTGTCCAATGTCAGCCGTCATCACACCAATATTCTGGTTCTAACTGTGGGCTCCTAGAGTAATGATGGTCTGCGTGGTCGTGTGACACAGGGTGGAGTGAGGTATACCCTGCTGGAAACCAGGGAAGAAGTGAAGTGTTGTGTGACAACAGCCCCAGAGAGGCTGTACGTCCTTGGCTTGGGCAGTGGCTGAGCAGGACACACTTCAAATCCATTGGCAACACCTTGCTGATGAGTCACTGAATTGTAACCAGTGTTGATTTTTTATTTACTGTCTACTCAGCCCCTGT